TCGGTAGCGTTTTTCTGTGCAGTCTGTAAGTCCTTGACAAACTGTTGCGATCGTGGGGCGAGGCTCTCAACTAACCGTGTAGTGGGAGTCGTGGGATTTAGACCGTAATTTAGGTAGAACGGTGATTGGGCAATCGTTGACGAAGGGACGTTGTTATACGCGAACTCGATTAGAGGAAGGGAATCTTCCCATTGGGTCGGGTTGGTACAGGTTGTCCGTATCAGCTGCTCCATGGTCTGATTTGTCCGTCCAGTCTGACCGTCGATCTTTGGGTGGTAAGTCATGGACAGATGGAGACGTGTGCGGTACTGTTCCCACATTTTTGTCCAGAAGTTGGATGTGAATTGGGGGTCATGATCGCTCACAATCGCCGTCGAGATTCCGTGCAGGCGAACGACGGTTGAGATGAACAGCTTGGCAGTTTGCTCGGCTGTGATCGTCGTTTGGCATGGCGCGAAATGAGCCATTTTTGTGAGTCTGTCAACGACCACGAGTACAGCACCATTTTGGGATGCGCCGGCAGTCCTGTCACGAAGTCCATGGACACGTGTGTCCAAGGCTTGGTGGGCGGTTCTAACGGTTGCAATAATTCAGCTGGATTTTGGCAAGAGGATTTCATCAGTTGGCAGGTGGGACATGAGGCCACATATTGCTGCACGTCGTGGCTCGCATTTCAAGGTTTTATCAACCCCAAAATGTCCTGGGCAATTAGCGTCATGAACCTCCTGTATCACTAATTCCTATAACAGTCGTTAGGATGGAACCCAAATTCGGTCAGTACCAGCTTTTAGGTGGTAGTGGCCTCGTTGAGTGGTCAGGGCCTGGTGGCCGCTAGAGGTGAAGAGAGGATCCGTATTGTAGCCATAGGTAAACATTCTAGTTAGCAGCGGGCTAGCTTGGGCGATTAGTACGGCGATTGTATGGGCCGTAGGGCGGGATAGGTCATCGGCAATATTATTTGCCCCCTTCTTGTAGGTGATGCGGTAGTGGAAGTTGGACTCGAGTTATTCGAGCCAACGAATCTGTCATGGATTGAGGGTCGGTTGGGCTCGGAGGAACTGTAGGGACTTGTGGTCTGTTTGGACACTAACGTCGGCACCAGATCGGTAGCAGCGCCAGGTGTTGAAAGCATAGACGATCGTGAGCATTTCCTTGTCGTGAACCATGTAATTTCGTTCAGCGCCTTGGAGTTTCCGCAATTCGTAGGCACTTGGCTGCAGGCCTTCGCCAAAGTCTTGTAACAGTACCGCACCAACGGATGTCATTGGCGTTCGTAATCAGTTCGTATGGGTGGTCGGGTTCGGAGATACGAAGAACGAGTGGTGTCATGAGGAAAAAATTGAGTTGGTCAAACGCAGCTTGCTGCCTCTTCCCCCACTCATAAAAAAACTCCTTTCTGCAAGTAGTCTGTTAACGGGGCTGTTGACTCCACCATTTTAGGGATAAAGCGGCGCACGTAGTTGACGAACCCCATAAAACTTTGTAGCTCCTTAACGTTCGTAGGCGGTTCCCAGTTGCGAATATTGTCGTTCTTTTTCGGGTCAATTTTAAGGCCTTCGATTGAGATGACGTGGCCCAGGAATTCCAGCTCCTCTTTTAAGAACTCGCACTTAGAGCCCTTGGTGATGAGTTGGTCTTGATTGCAGAGGGTAAAAACTGCTTCCAGGTCCGTTAAATTATATTCGCGCGAGATGCTGTACACCATGATGTCATTCAGGTAAACGATGACGCACTTGTCCAGTAGCGAGCGGAAGACTTCGTTCATGGTTAGTTGAAAAGTTGAGGGTGCGTTCGTCAGCCCAAACGGCATCACTCTATACTCGTAACTTCCGTAACGGGTTCGAAAAGCAGTCCTCGGAATATCAGCTTCGGCGACAAGAATCTGATGGTAACCTCCTCGTAGATCAATCTTGGAAAAAATTCTGGCCCCGCGAAGTTGGTCTATGAGATCGTCGGCTCGCGGAATCGGGTAACGGGAATTGATGGTGATGTTGAGCGCTCGATAATCGGTACACATCCGTAGTCCTCCGTCCTTCTTTGGGGTGAAGAGAATCGGCGCGGCGTAGGGTGATGTAAATGGGCGGACAATTTTTTTCTCCAACAGATAATCCAGTTGCGTACGCAGTTCCATCAGCTCCGGCTGCCTCAGCCTTCATTGCGATCGGACGGTCGGCTGCGCGCCAGGTTCCAGCTCAATTTTGTGATCATGTGGTCATTCAGGTGGCAGGCCGGGCGGCAGGTCATCAGGAAAAATCTTCTCTTACTTGCGCATGATCTTCGCCAGGTCCTCAGGTACAGCAGCACACAGATTTTCTAGGTCGGTCTGTTCAGCCACCTCCGTTGATGCGATCCATCGGACGGCGTAGACGTCCATGTCGCATGCCATTACATGCTTGATAGTCACATTGTTCACCAGTGTCGACTGAGGGTTAGGTGGTTTCCACTTTGGCAGTCGTCGCCACCCGCCACCCCACTTGAAACAAATGCCGCCATTCCTCCAATCGATGCTTGGAATGTACGTGCGAAGTCAATCGCACCCCAGGAGCACATCGAAGCCGTCCAACGTTGTCGCCAACATCTTCATGGCAAAACTCACTTAGGTGTCACAATCAATGCGAGCATATTTTACCCGCTCCCGTATTGCAAGTGGCGTGCCGTCGACCAACCTCGCGTCAATCTCGGGCATGCACCTCTCCGTTTGCAGTTGCAGTTTCTTCGCTCTTGTCACATCGAACAGACTGTGTGATGCTCAACCGTCCACAAATATTTTTAATCTGGTGTTGCCAATATGCCCTTCCACCAGCGCCGGGCAGTCAACAGGTTCACTCCCCTTTAACCAGGTGTGGTCGATCGCATAGATAGGCATTACGACTCGGTGGGAATGGTGATCTTCGGGCAACGAAGCCTTATAAGTAGGGGGCCCGACTACTACTGATGCTGTCCATTTCCCGGCTTCCTTCCGTCGTTTGCTCCTGATTTCTGCAACTCCGGACAGTTCCGCGTGATGTGACCCGGCTGGCCAAATTGTATAACACCTGCCAGAAAATCTGTTATCTGATAGTGCCGCCACGCCGTTGATGGATGGGTAACTGTTCTGCCCTCAAAAATGACTTCCCTCCCATAAATTTGTCCTCGGCCATACACTGTTCTCGTCCCACGCCTCTGCAACCTGCTTCACCTCCAGGAACGTCGCCGGGCGACGCGTGCGAATTTTGCGCTGGACCTCCGGTTTCAGCCCTATGATGTATCGACTTGTCTTCTCCGTCTCGTGTAGATCATCGATTTTGTCGCAGATGGCGAGGAAAGATGACGCATACTCCAGCACGGAACCCAGTTGACGCCATCCGGGCAACTTCACATGAGCGTTTTCGCATGCGGATACATGCTCGAAGCGCCGGCGAAGCAGTGCACCCCACTGTTGCCAGGTAAGGATCTTGGCCACACCAAACAGGATCCTGTAGAAGTTGAAGCCAATCGTCGCTCCCCGTCCATCGCCTGTTGCCAGTCTGTCGGAGTCCCTCGTGACGTCACGTACTGTCGCCACCAACTTAATGCAGGTCCGCGTACTAAAGACATTGCCCGTTTGACGCGTGTCTCATCGTCGTTGGCGTCGGCGGCATTGAAGAACAGTTCCATGGCGAACAGCCACCCACTCATCGTGGTGTTTTTTCCCAGGAGGTTGAACGGTGGTGGCATGGCAGGTTTTATCTTCACAACTGCCCTTCGCTCACTCGAACTGTCGTCACGTCTCGCTGACGTCGCCTGCGGTTGATGCGCGCTCGCACGATCTTCGTCCACGGTAACAGGCGACTCGTGACGCGTCGCACCACGCGTTTGGCGAAGGCTTACATTCTCCTCTTTCAACGCAGCGAGCTCGATGGCCATGACCTCCATCTTCGCCATCATTTTGCCAACCTTCGTCGTCAGTACGGATGCGCTTGCCGCCGCCTCTGACAACTGAGCTATTTGCTCGGGAGTCATACAGTATTTCTAGTCCTACGGCGAGGAGGGCTATTGACCATGAATTACCCTAACTAGCTAACGCTACTAAAGACACTACGGGCACGTGCACCGTTAACGACGTGGAGCGCACACGACAAAGTCGGCGGAACTGAAGAAGTTCCTGCACGACTGCTGGACAACTCCTGTTTCCTAACGTGCGAGGTCCCTCTAGAACTACTTCACTGCGGAAGCCTAAACGGGCAGGAACGTGGCTCTGATACCAGCTGTTATGATAATATCCGGATCGGAGTCGAGTAATGAAATAGTGAGGTCGTGATTAAAGTGTGTCAAGTACAAATGAAGCACATGGCTAAATACAAGCACAGCTAGCCTAGCAAGAGAGCCTCAAGAAAGGCCACGAATCACGCGCGAGGTGGTTCGGGCAGCCTCGGGACTCGGCAGTGTCGGACGTGACGCCGCGTGTAGGCTTGGGGTCTCGAACGTAGCTCAAACCTGAATTGTCGGGCCGAGCCTGGACTTCCGAAAGTCAGGGCTGTACTGGGTGTTAGTATATACAGTCCCATGATCTACACTCGTTTTCAACTCTCGATATCAGCGCATTTGGACTCTGATGACTTCGCAGAGGGCTTTACCGAACCTCGAATCGGATTTCTGAGTCCGAACCGCGCAATTATTGGTTTTTCAGTCCCTTCTCCCCCGTCCGATGAGCTTGCCTTCTGGCCGATGAGCTTGCCTCCCCCGCACCGTTATAGGTCGCAGCCGTGTTCTGTACTGATGCGTTTTTCGCAATCTGCTAGTGGTTTCGTACGTTACAGTGGATTCCAGTGCGGTTCAACGTCGGAACTAGGAAGGAAGCCGTGAAGTCTCCCCTTAGCTCCCAACAGAAGCCCTCAGTCTGGTTTCCAGTGAAGCCAAGTCGGCTGGCGCGCCGGGTGCTGAACACGTCTGAGGAGTCCAGATGGAGAGAGCATGCGGAGTGGGAGCGCAATTATATACATCTCTGCCTCCTTCGACGCTGTGTGCCTGTGTAGCTTCACAAGCAATTCATCCCAGTAACTCTTCAGCTGACTTGGCATTTGACGAGGTGACAATCTGGTGTTGCAGCCAGTTCGCTGCCCCTGCATTTAGAGGCCCATTCTCAGCTCATACATTCGCGGCAGGCGTACCGTCCCTTCTCGCTCAATCAGACTAGGTCTCTCATAAGCGGCTCGAACGCCTTTATCTATAAAAAATCCCATTGTCTCCCTCCGTCACGACTCTCAGCCAGATCCTCAGCCCGACTCACAGGCAGACCCTCAGCTTGACCCTCATCCAGTCACTTTCGCCTGATCTATTGATAGAACTACTAGATCCGGAATGGCTAGACCGGCAGCACCCACCGCCGCTGCCCCGCAGTGGCCTCCGGATTACAACCGTGATCACGTTACCGTCGAAGACATCGGTGAAGACTACGACGACGACGACTCGTCGTTCGACGGCTACGACTTTCGCGGCGACGCCGGCGACGACGACGACGCGTTTTCCACGGCGTCGTCCGAGGATCTGACGATCGAGGTCGAAGCGCTCAAGCGCGACGCCGCCAGCAAGAAGTACTCGCCGTCCGCCGGCGTGCCGTCGGCGTCCGCCGCCCCCGGCGCTTCCGTGCTCACCTTCCGCAACATCTCGTATTCCGTGTTCGTCAAGCAGCGCAAGGGGGAGCCTTCCGCCGCCGCCGGTCCGCAGTTCGCGCGGCAGGACAGCACGCTCGCGAACTTCCCCGGACTGCCGCAGCAAGGCTTTCAAACGGCTAGTGCGCCTGCTGCTGTCGCGGAAGCTAGTGCGCCGGGAGCGGGTGAAAGCGCGGCAGGCGGCGGAACCAGCGCCGCGCCAGGCAGCGGCGGGATACGCGGGATCGTCGGGATCGGGGGGATGCGCCGTAAGCGCATTCGGCGGCAGATCCTAGCGGGCGTGAACGGCGAGGCACGGTCGGGGGAGGTGACCGCGATCATGGGCGCAAGCGGCGGCGGAAAGACGACGCTGCTGAACATCCTGGCGCAGCGGATCTCCTCCGGGCGGCGGAAGGGGACGGTGGAGCTGGATGCGGGGGAAGGCGCGGTCACGGTGAGCGCGGGGATGATGCGGCACGTCTCCGCGTACGTGATGCAAGACGACGTGCTGTTCCCGTCGCTCACGGTGCGCGAAACGCTCATGTACGCCGCGGAGCTTCGCGTGGAGCCGAGATTCTCGCGACGCGAAAAGGAGGAGAAGGTTGACCGTCTGATCGATCTGCTTGGGCTCGCGAAAGTGGCGGAGACGCTGATTGGCGGCGAAAGGAAGAGGTGAGCGTGTAACTTAACTTTTCAGAGGGCCGATGGCGTTAGGGGAGAGGCGAGCGCCAATCGCGGCAGACGCTGGAAAACCGCTTCGAACCTGGAAGGCCGTGTGCCATGGATGTTGGTGCGAGTCCCGAAACCTGAAATATTGAACTCTGAACTCTCGCTTTCAGTTTGTTGGCGGGAGACGACACTGTTTATAACGAGTTTGTATTTGAACTACGCGTAATCTCACACCCTAACGTTACCCTGTTGTTTTTCGCAGAGGCGTTTCTGGCGGCGAGCGAAAGCGAGTGGCGATAGGGGTGGAGATGGTGAGCGACCCCAAGATCCTGTTTCTCGACGAGCCGACCTCAGGGCTTGATTCCACCAACGCGTTTCGGGTTGTACGCGCTATTAAGTCCGTCGCCATCCAGACAGCAAGCATTTCCGTGATGGTGATTCATCAGGTCAGTACACATGCAAACAAATCTATGTCTCATTTTTGCAACACCATATTTAACGAAATTTTTATCTTTTTACACCCACACACGTTCCATTAATGCCCCTCCCCTCCCCTCCCCCTCCCCACACCAGCCATCATATAGAGTCCTTAGCCTCATCGACAAGCTTCTCCTGCTGGGCGTGGGCCAGACGGCTTATCTGGGCCCACCTGCCGGCCTTCCGGATTTCCTCTCGTCTCTTGGCAGCCCGGTGCCAGAGGGATCCAACAGCACAGAGCATGGCTTGGACGTCATGGCAGTGCTACAGGCCCAGGGTGTTACAGACATCCAAGCCTACGTCCAAGCCTGCCAAGCCGGCGTTTCCGACCCTGTAGCAGCGAGTCGGAAGGCGTTGGCGGTTACGAGCGATGCGGTTACCCCAAAGTCTCCCAGGGGGAAATTGGGATGGGGGCAGCTCGGCAAAGGGCGAAAGGAGGAACAGCCGACGAAGACAGGGGGGAAGGAGAATGAGCCTAAGGGGCAGCAATACGCAAACGGATGGTTTGGGGAGTTGATGGTGCTGACCAGGAGAGCTACAGTGAACATCATGCGCACTCCTGCGCTGTACCTGCTGCGGCTGGCGCTCATCCTTATAACGAGTGTGCTGCTAGCGATTCTGTTCTGGAAGCCAGAAGAAACGTAAGTAGAAATGACATGGCTGGGGGGGTCTGGTTCTTTGATAATGGGTGGTCGGCCAGGTGGCAGGCTTGGGAAATGGACGGTCTGCTCTTGTGCCAAGCTTGGAAAGTACATGGTCAGGTCTGGTGCAAAATGGGAAGGTCAAGTGAGGGCCTTAGAATGGTTGGAGTATGGATAAGGCACCATCAACTGGGAATCACTCTGCATAACTGTGCTTCTTTTCCGTTTCCCACTGCCATCCCCATCTGCCATCCCCATCTGCCATCCCCATCTGCCATCCCCATCTGCCATCCCCATCTGCCATCCCCATCTGCCATCCCCATCTGCCATCCCCATCTGCCATCCCCATCTGCCATCCCCATCTGCCATCCCCATCTGCCATCCCCATCTGCCATCCCCATCTGCCATCCCCATCTGCCATCCCCATCTGCCATCCCCATCTGCCATCCCCCTCTGCCATCCCCATCTGCCATCCCCATCTGCCATCCCCATCTGCCATCCCCATCTGCCATCCCCATCTGCCATCCCCATCTGCCATCCCCCTCTGGCATCTCCCTCCTAAGCTTTCCGTGTGTGTGTCCATGCGCGGGTCCCCGGTTCACTTCAACACTGCAGGCCGGAGGGGGCGTCGATTCGGCTGTCCTTCCTCTCATGCGCGACCTGCATTGTCTTCTACACCTCTTGCGATGCCGTGCCGATATTCATAGAGGTATGTACAGTCTTTCTGCCATGCCAATATAATCAGCTCTGAGGGGGAGCTGCTTCGGCTGTCCTTCCTGTCGTCTGCGAGCTGCATTAACTGTCAAACCTCCTGCGATGATGTGCCGATATTCATCGAGGTAAGTTGCAGTTGTTTCGATGGGTTACATTTTGATGACGAGTGTTACATTCATTGAGACATGCTACACTCTTTGAGGTTACGTTCGTTGAGGGTTCATTCATAGAGGTTATATTCACTGATATACGTCCGCCTTGTACCCCCCCTCATTTCAACCTGCTACTCTGCACACCACCAGGAATGCGCAATATTCACAAGGGAATCTGCCAATAACGCGTACAGGCCGTCAACCTACCTGGTGTCAGCAACCCTGGTCTACCTGCCCTTGCACTTCCTCATGGCGCTGCTTCTCACGGCTGTCTCATGGGGAAGCATCAGCCTGGCGGGCGGCGCAGAGGGTTTTCTCTTCATGGTGCTCGCGTGTTTCGTCATGTTCTTCACAGCGAATGCCATCGCGACATGTGTCAGCATCTGCGTCAAGGAGTGAGTGACCCTGAAATCTTGGGCTGTACATAGATTTGGATTCTCTTTGCCCCAAGATTTTTCGTGTTCATCCCTCGTCTTATTCATTTGCATAACATGGCTTCTACACTTCTATGTGTCCCTTTCATCTTTATCTTGCCATGTGTGGCAGGACAGGTGTGGCATGGGCATGATGGCATGGGCATGTCGGTTCATTACATCTCATTCATCCTATGATCTTGTCCCTCTCCTCCTGCCATCCTCCCTTACTTTTCCTCCATCCTACCCTCCCTTACAGTGTTCTGCCAATTGCCAAAGCACTTTCCCTCACTGCCTGTTGAAACCCGCATGGTTCCCTCATCTTCCCTCCATCCATCCCTCCATCCATCCCTCCATCCATCCCTCCATCCATCCCTCCATCCATCCCTCCATCCATCCCTCCATCCATCCCTCCATCCATCCCTCCATCCATCCCTCCATCCATCCCTCCATCCATCCCTCCATCCATCCCTCCATCCATCCCTCCATCCATCCCTCCATCCATCCCTCCTTCCATCCCTCCATCCATCCCTCCTTCCATCCCTCCTTCCTTCCCTCCCGTCGTCCCTCCTCCCCTCCCCTGCAGTGTTGTGCTGGCATATGCAACTGCCATCTCTCTCATGTCCTACTTCTACCTCGTTAGTGGCTTCTACGTTACAAGGACTCAAATGTCTCCGGCACTCATATGGCTACACTACTTGTCGCCCTTCAAATACGCTTATGAAGCTCTCGCTATCAACCAATATGACAGGTGAGCTGTAGGTCACATGCTCCAAGTTTGACATGCCTTCAACCAATATAAGGCCTTCAAATGCGCTCATTATAAGCACGCTTATGAAGCTCTCGCTATCAACCAATATGACAGGTGAGGTGCAGGTGAAGTTGCGCCGCCTCCCATCCAATCCCAACCCATGCCATACCATGCCATGCCATGCCATGCCATCCCATCCCATGCCATGCCATGCCATGCCATCCCATCCCATCCCATCCCATGCCATCCCATCCCATCGCATCCCATCCCATCCCATCCCATCGCATCCCATCCCATACCCATCCCATCCCGTCCCATTTCATCCCATCCCATGCCACCCCTTTCCATCCCATGCCACCCCTTTCCATCCAATCGCCCCTCAGGCCCGACCTCTGCTACATGCGCGTTGACAGCACCTTGGGAGCTCCACCAGGCACCTTGCCACCCGCCGCTTCAACTCCCCAGCAACCTACTCCAGGGGCCGCGGGTGCGGGGACGTGCTTGCTCACTGGGCCGCAGCTGCTGACGGAGCGGTCCATTGACCAACTTGGGAAGTGGCAGTGCTTGGTGGTGCTGCTGGTGTTTGGAATTGCTGTGAAGCTGCTCACGTTTGTGCTGCTGGTGAGGCTTCAGAGGGCCAAGCACAAGTGAGGGGGTCAGGAGGAAGAAGGTTGAAAGAATAAGGTGTGTTCTGAGGGGCCTCGGAATGCAGTTGCCCACGTTTGTGCTGCTGGGGAGGCTCGGAAGGACCATACAGAAATGAAGGAACTAGAATCTACCGTAAACGCCCGGATATAAGTCTTGCTTAGTTAAAGCCCCATTGAGTCTTTTTGGCGGTGGGGTCTTAAACTCAGTGGTATGACTGAGTGTACCCCCCCCCTTGATGGTGTAGACGGTATAAGACCCCCCAGCTCGTTTTTTCCACTATATTAACCACTATCACAGCAATTAGCTACGTCACAACATTAGATGCACATGACACAGCATGATACCAGTCAGAATTCGTATGCAACCTGTCAGCTACAGCAAACTAGAGCACGCCTTCACACATCCTAGCAGAAAACACTACAGCATGTTCCAGAAAACATCGTACTTGTTGTAATACTTCCCACCATCCTCATCCTCACTATCGTCGTCTTCTTCCGCGGAGTCACCATAGTCTTCGACTGTGGCGTTTAGCTGCTGAGCGGCTGTCATACGGGGCAACGGTTCAAGTGCCTCTGGCGCGGTGCTCTGCTCAACCCCGGTAGGCATGGGGTTGATGCCGCACAGCACCGCTGCAACGGACGCATCGATGTCGTCGAAGTCCTCTTCATCCAGCTCCTCCTCGTCATCCAGCGCCAGCTTTTCCGCCATGTACTCCTCCTCAACCGCCTCTACCTCCTCAGCCTCTTCCTCTCCCTCGTCCTCGTCCTCGTCGTCGTCGTCCTCCTCCTCCTCCTCCTCCTCCTCCTCCTCCTCCGCAGCCAGCTCTGCATCCTCGGCCTCCTCCGGGGCGTTTGCGGAGAAGGAATTGTCGCCCTCGGACCCTACAGAGCGGACGTCGTCAGTCACGTCCACCTCGTTCGGTGCCAAGGCCTTCAGATGGCGCAGGATCAGGTGGTCTTCGCTCTCGTCGAGGGCAGAGGAGATGCCCGTCACCTTGAATGCTTTCTGGATGAGGGCCACTAGGACCGCCGCCCAGCACTTCTTCAGGCGTGGGCTTCTTGAGGTTACCTGCGCAATAAGGGAGCGCACGGAATTAGTGTGTATTCCGAAGCATGGATTGCATAATCGGGGTAGAGACAGTGTAACAATACGGTCCTTACCAGCACGGGTGAAAGAGTTGATGCCGACATTTGTGAACCAGTCGCTGTACTCGGCGCGGACGCCAGCTTTGAAGGACTTGAACACGGCTACGTCGAGAGGCTGCAACACAGAGGTGCAGCCAGCGGGGATGACGGTGGGAGTCATTTTGAAGAGCCGCATCGTCTGCTTCACGCCGTCCATCAGGTGTCCACGGTAAGAATCAAGGACCACGAGGCTTGCAGGGCACGGCCTGTCAGGCTGAGGGGCGACGTGGGGTGACAGGACTCGCGTAATCCAATCCTTGACGAGCCCCTCGTCCATCCACCCCTTGGGTTGGGCACGGATGATGACGTTTGCGAACACAAACACCGACAAGCAAATGCGCATGGTTAGTTGCGGATCGTGAAACCTGAATCGGATTTACAAGCCGACAGTGCCCATATTAAGCAAGTCGGAGTTGAAGGAAAGCTGACGGGCGGCAATGCACTGTTGTCACTCACTTGGCGGCACTTGCACCTTCGGCGGCCGCACGCACTAGGAGACCACATAAGCGGGGAGCTTGACATCGGCGGCAGTGCATGCAAGCATGACGGTGACTCTCTCCTTCTCGTATCCCGCAGTCCGCACATGCACCGTCCGAATGCCCTGGTGCTCAATGGTGCGTTCCTACGGCATCTCGAGGAAGAGCACCGTTTGGTCAGTGTTGATAATGTGGTTGTTTGGGATGGCCTTGTTGAAGACCTGGCGGCGACAAAAGCGCCAAAAGCTCTGCGCCTTGGGCTTGATGTATGCCAGGCAGAGGGCCAGAGGACTCAATGCGGAATAGGAAGGGGAAAGGGACTGGCATTAACCCATGTCCGTTGAGCATAGCACGGAAATTGTGATGCAAGAGTGATACAGAGATTCGTCGTGTCGACAGCAGGGAGAGTCAGAAAATGTTGACATGCACAAGACACCAAACGTACAACCACCTACCGGCCGCCAAGCGTTGACCAATTTCGGTCTTCACGCAAACAATCAACCCAAAAATGTTGACATGCACAAGACACCAAACGTACAGCCAACTACCGGCCGCCAAGCGTTGACCAATTTCGGTATTCACGCAAACACTCAACCCCCACCGTGCGCGCATCCGTTGCGTCCAGCGCGAAGAGGCTTTCCATTCGAGCCAGGGTGGTTCTTTGCCATATACCCGAGGCTACATTGGCGGAGAAGGTTGACGGAAACAGGGAGGCCGAGTTGGCGATGGTGGAGAAGCTTTCTGTAAACCCAGATTTCCATCTCTGGGTATAGGGAGCGGCGGCCCATGCCATGGAGCAGCTTTCGACAGGAGGCCGCGTTCTCGAGGCGTCACGGTCCTTCATCCAGCGGCGAATGCTGACGGGCTGGACACCCCCCTTCTTGGCGGTAGCTCGGACGGAGAGGTTGTTGGCGTCCATGTACTGCAGCCAACAAAATTTCTCCTTCACCGTGCGGGAACGCCGCAAACCTTTTGTTGGGCGGGAGCGGGAAGAAGGAGGGGAAGCATCATAGTTCACCTCCCAATCTTCGCGCGAACGCCTGCCATTGGGGTAGACAGGAACACAGATTTTGGGGTTGGGCCCGTCGTCCTCATCGTCGGCGTCGTTGACGTCGTCGGCGTCATCTGCCTGGTCGTCGTCTGCCGTGCCGTCGACGAAGTGGACGTCGTCGACATAGACATCCTCCTCCTTGAACACGCCATCGAAATTGGTGCGCGGTTCGGGAAATACTGAAGGTCGGTACAGTATCGGAGACCAAAAGAAAGCACACACTGGCTAGGAGGGGCGGGAGGAGCGGGAGGTGCCGGCGGCGCGGGAGGGGCAGGAGGCGAGGGTGGGGCTGGCAGAGCGGGAGGAACAGACAGCCATCGATCTAGCGTACGGCTTGTGCCGGTGCGACCTTTGATTATGGCGGCAAGACCACTTCTAGTGGTAGGAGGCATAATGGGATTGAGCTGCAGCATGCAACCTATACTTACTTGCTAGAGCACACCTGGATCCTCGCGTCTGAATGCCATTTAAGCAGATTCTTTGACCAGTCGGTATGGCGATTGGGAGTGAGACACAGTCATCGAGCAGGAACGAACGACGCGCGATCTGGAGCACTGTGAGAGTACGACCCCATTACACCACTTGTCCTTTTCCTTATTTCCTTTCTCTTTCATTTCTCTATTTATCCCATCTCATTTGGTTTCCTATTCTCCATTTTCCATTATCCTTTGGTTTATCCTGCTATTATAATTATATCACCGACCAGGCTCAGGATGTACTGGCGCGCCATATCTAGCGTAATCCTGTCGTAATCCCGAAAAGCCAATAGCCACGCGTGGCTATACGCAGGGTGATTCTATTTTTTAGAAGGGTCTATTCCCTTCGATAGGATAAACTTGGTTACCTGATGTAATCTGGAAGTATAAAAGCGCCTTGTACCAATCGATAGTGGAATCTTTCCTCGACACATTCGATCCTATGACACTTGGTAATCAGGGCTTTTCTCATTCGGCCACGTTCAACAAAGCAGCAGCAGCGGGAAAACCTGCCTCGACAAACCGCCGGGGGCGACGAATTCGGCGCCGATTCTGGTAAGCACCAGCTCCGCGTTTTGTTAATAACCCCCCCCCCCCCCCCCCCCCCCCCCCCCCGCGCGTGTTTTGAACAGGTGGGCGACCTTCGACAACGCCGAGGTTACCCAGCAGCTCTTCGCGAGCATCGCAACCCTTCAGGAGGAGATGCGAGCGGATCGCGAAGCTTGGCGAAACGAGTTCGAGCGAGTAACTCGACTCGCCGGCGCGCAGCACGATTCGACAACGGCGACGACGTAGCAGTTTCTCGAGGCTCCGAAACCGCACCCACCTGAGCCGTTCGATCCGAGCGATTGAAACTCCGACGCCCGCAGATGGATCGCCGGCATGGAGATCTCCTTCGCAGCCGTCGGATGGAGCTCGCCAGTCTGGGACGGTCAACGCTTACGACTCGCAGCGACACTGATGTGAGGGCCGGCACTTGAGTGGATCGGCGGTAACAGCACCTACATCCATGGTGAAGCCACGTGACAGCAGTTCCGCACCGACCTGCTGAAACGTTTCGAGCCGATAAATTCAGGTTTCCTTGCCCGGGAAAAAAATCATCGACATTTTGGGAGTGTAGCACAGTACACGCAGCAGATGGAAGAATTTTATTAACCATATTCCCGACCTGACCGAAGGGGAAAAAGTACAGTCATACCTCGCCAGGCTGAAGACCGAAGTCAAACGCCACGTAGCAGCGTCAAACTACGCGAGCTACAGTGACGTCGTTTCAGCATCGGAGCGCTTCAACATGGTCAACGCCGGGACACGACGAGCGCACATCCGCAGTACACGATGGGCGCACGTCGGCAGTATGCGACGGGGCGACCGCTCGGCTCACACCACGTTCGCCGACCCGATGGACATTGATAGGTTCGACGGGCGGCCGTGTCCGAAAAACACCAACTACACGTGTGATTTTTGCGGGGTGCCGGGCCATCGAATCTTCGACTACAACAAAATGAAAGCCGCACGAGCAGAGTATCGGGCACGGAACGGTAGCGGAAATTCTTCAGCCAATCAGAAGACAAAAAACGGGAGTCGCCGGTGATTACAGATCTAGCTGGCGAAAAAGGAAAAGATCCGAAAGCGGACGCGGGATTCCGGGAAAATCAACTTCGACGAAGTTGATTCGACGCGAGCAGGACGAAATGATGGGGGAAAATCTCCACCCCACGACCAATCTTCGCCAGGGAAAATCGACGAGAAAAAAATTGACTCCGCGAAAAAAGACTCTGCCGAGACGGGGAAACTCCTTGAAGACCCAAGAAATTATAAGGATTTGTCAAAGTTATCTTATAAAGATGCTTTAATGCAAACTTATGATTCTCGAGGGGCTAGAGCCTTGGAGAAATTTCGGGAGGGACTCCAGAAGAAGCAGAAAGCTGTGGAGATTATACCGGTACCGGACAACTTGGGGAAGAAATTAAGGAATGTGGAAAGAAGCCGACCTTTCCACGGAGTTAACGTCCTCTCCCGACACCAGCCCACAACGACTACCCGTTCCCCAGGGAAGACATCGGTGGAGCTGAAGCAGCTCAAGAGGAAGCTGGGGGTCTACAAGAAGCTGCAAAAACCCTGAAGCAGC